AATTTATTTAATTTATTTTAGATGTAGATTATATACTATGTATAACTTGAATTATACACCAACAACTTTTGGGGTACAAAGTTGAAGAGAAATTATATCTGGGGGTACGCGAACGAAAAAGGTTGAATACCACTGGTCTAGGAGTCAGGTCATGTGGAAATGCAATGTTATTAAATCCCCCCCACAATAATTGTACCAGAATACTATGGTATTTTAATAACAGTATTATTAGCAATATAAACAATTCTGTCATAGTCCTCCAATTTTAATGGTCTGGCATTACAATATTTTCAGTTAATCAAATGGGATAATATTGTTGCATTAAGTTAACTAGAGGCACAAAATGAAGGTAAACTAACAGACAGCATTAAATACCACATTCATAAACGAAAAAAATCTAAAATGTGTTTACGGAAATAATTACATCACATCATCTACCACTCGTGTCAGCTTATTTATACTTTATTTTAACTCTTCAAGCAAGACTTCTGTGATTTATTGACAGGCAAATTAAAATAATACACATTTGTGTTGTGTGTATGTTGTAAAATGCAATAATCTATTAATAATTTATTAAAGATTCTGTTATTTGTAGCACTTTACAGTTAATTTACTTTTAACTCTTAACTCTCTGACTTGTGATGCAAAATTTTCTTATTAACTTTATATGACAGAAGCAGTAAAGATTCTTATCATATAACATAAAATTTATTTTCCCTGACAAGTAAAATTAATAAATTAAGTACCAATATCAGATACAAACAGTAAATACATGAAAACTTACCATTGTACATGATAGGAACTCCAGTCTCATAATATACTAATGCTGGGAAGCTGAAGATTCCTATCTCTGACGCTAATTTTGAATCTTTAGACTTCACAAATTGAATTCCGTGCTTATCAGTGTCATCATCAATTGTTTCCAGGTCTTCAAGTATAGCAGGGCAGGATTCACATTTGTCGTCATCTGGTAAGATAATACAGCGTGTATATTTAAGCACGATTTAAAACGGGTCAGATAACAATCGAGGGATGTTCTTTGCAGTGGGATATGACTTACGAAACATGATAAAACCTCTTGTGTGAACTTTTTTGTAGAAAAATTCTACATTACATTACACTTCTTAATTATAATCTTTCGGTTTATTTAATGATTACGAAGCATGCCACCAATATTAAAACAAACATACCTAGGTACCACACAAAAATTAACATTTCCAATATACAAAAGGAACAATGTACAAGACCAAATGTCACAGCCAAGTGATTAACACTCCTGCTTCATATCTGAGAGGTCACAGGTTAGAGTCTTGTTCCAGAGACCAGCTGTGACGACTGAGGGTTTTTTTTGATTCCCTCAGGCAATCCACGAAAAGCACAGAACCATAAATTATGCCATGACTGTCATTCTATACTCTTTCCAACTCATTAATCGTACTATAATTCAACATTATGTTGTCTGAAATACTGACAGCAACATTAAATAAACTGTAAATAAGAAATAAATAAACAATATATTCAACTTTTATGACAATCAGAATTGTCACACTTATTACATTACAGATAGAAAATAGCATGATGAAGATTATGCTTAATTAGATTAACGTGTGAAGTGACAGTAAGTACAATAATACAAAATAGGTACCATACGAGTATGAGTGTGTTCACACACACACGTGCCTGCGTGCGTACATGCACGTTTGAGTCTATATGTGTACGTGTGCTTGCCGTTGTTGTAAATTCTAACCATTCTGCCGTGAGTAAAAACCCCTAAGATACTGAGCCATGCAATCGCATAGTAGATGACTGACATTTCAAAATTGCATACTGCTTCCATCATCAGGGCAATGATCACCCAGACGATGGAGGCAGTACGCACCTGTAAAACAGTGTCAACCTTTATGATATTACATGGAACAATATCCCAGAAGGCTGCCATCTTCATACTCAATGTCATGAGAAATCTGAACCCTCACTGAGTGGAATATAATTCTTGTAAGTTTTTCAAACACTTCTTTCCACTAAAAGTGATATAAAATTAACTGTAATTACCTTACTTTCTATGAGATAAACCGTGTTTAGTAAAAATAAAGCTTACAGAAAAAGACTGCCAGATGCTCGACACTGGATATAAGAACTTGTAATGTTTTTCTATCTACACTCTCTATGACATCTGGTGTCGATTCATGTAGTTTTAACACCCATTCCAGAATGGGCTCTTCGTGCATTAGGTCCCCTGAAAAACAAGTGTTCAAGCCTTTGAAATAAACTTCTGCTCTGCTTTTTAAATACAAATATTTCTGTAAAATAAGAATACAACTAAGTAAATGGCAGCATAAGGACAATAAGTTCATATTCTATATAATGGCACATACAACAGGATGGCTGCCTTCTGGATTTTAGTGCCATGTAGTCTGGTAGAAATTAACCAAAGTTTCAGAAGTCCTTGATGCCTCTATCACCAGGGCAATGAGTGGCCCTGATGATGGTGGCAGCAAGGACCTTTGAAACGTTGGTAAACTTCTACGAGACAACATGGTGCTTCAACCCAGAAGACAGCTATTTTCAGACTTGCCACCATAAAAACCTCAAATTCTAACTAGATTTCATGTTTAGTATTCTTGTAAAATATTTCACTGCTTTCTGTGTGAATTCTGAATCATACATCTGCAACTGTTACATTATGTTAGTTTTAAGGCATAAAGTACTACTCATTTTCTTCATTTCATCCATTCTCACACTATGACCTTTCACTACCAAAATTCAAAACAAGATAATAATATTTGAGGAAGAGAAAACAAGTTTTACATTTAACTGATGTTTATAATGGCTCTACAGAACTCTAGAATTCTATCTTGACACTTACAAGATATAAGTGTTTAAAATAATACAATTTTCAAGGAACTAATATTAATGAGATTTCAAAGTGCTCAGTCTGGAAAAAGTTTTCATACAAATACTTTAGTTAAAGATTTGAGGGCCATATCACATTGCATCAAGACGATATACATATGTAAGATTTGAGGTTTGCACATTGGTGAGTATGAAGATTCCTGTTGCGCTGGTGGATGTTAACCAACGTTTCAGAGGTCGTACTGCCTCCGTCATTGCCCTGATGACGGAGGCAGTATGACCCCTGAAACGTTGGTAAACATCGACCAGACTACACAGTGCTACAACCCAGAAGACAGAAATCTTCATACTCTGATGACAGAGGCAGTATGACCTCTGAAACGTTGGTTAACATCGACCAGACTACACAGCGCAACAACCCAGAAGACAGAAATCTTCAAGATATACATAATACAAAATGAGTGTCTTATTAATGCAATTGTATTTGTTAGAAACCATTTTAAATCTAATGGATACATTTAAATATACCTATAAACTTATTAGGACTTTCATCATCTTTGCTGATTAATTTTAATCAAAATTATAGTTCATCCATAAGATTCAGTAGAATCTTACACACACCAAATTCCATCAGTATTCACTCTTTAAGAGTGGTATTATTAAATTATGAAGGAGCAGAGAGACACAATGAAGATAACAGATACATATTTTCTGTCTGAAAAGGTAAATTACTGTGCATTCCTCATTACATTGAAATTACCTGTATAAATCTGTCGGAATTTGTTCCTGTAAAAAACAAGTGCTGGTAGTGATGGGAGGTCATATTCCTTTTCAATCCCCTCATCCGATGTTTTCACAAAACTTATGTCTTTTTCTTCACATTCATCATCGATATTTTCTAATTCACTAATGATCTTCTGGCTTTTCTTGTCACCTTCTTCATCTATAATTGCATAATATATCATAAATTGCATTTGTCACAAGACAAACGAGTTCACTTGTTAATCAGCATTTGAGGCTACACTTACTGTAAAATCTCTCAATACTGCAATGGATTTTCTACCATTTCTTTGTAAGAATACTTTATTAGAAAAAATAACTGTTGAACTGATAAGAAATAAATATGATAGCATATGAGCCTCACCAAACCATAATTGTATCTTTACATAACTACATTTAAAAAAATTAGCATAAATTTTAATTTTGAAAATGTTTATATTGCTCACTGTTACAACAAAGAAAATCAATTTCATATTAGTAATAACTGCTTTGAACTGTTTATCTGCACACACACACACACATGTATGTGCAAGCATTAATGCTTCAACTGTACAAATTATAAAACTTAAAGAAAATGGAATAGTGTTTCAAAAATATTTTGGACCTGATGTGTTTTTGTCTAGGTACCAATCAACATACTGCAATGTTCTGGCAGTCATGTAAGGAAAACCAAAGAGTCCAATAAAAATATTGTGACGTGTCATCGCCGTGGGTGCCGGGGCCTCGCGCTGGAGGGGAGGGGCCGCCTGACTTCCAAGCTGCCTGGTCTGCATCTTTCAACATCTTGGGAGGGGGATGATAAACAAAGTCGCATTCCTGGACGCAGCCGAGTTGTGAAACAAGTTGTGTGTGAGTCGGAGGACAGAGCGGAAGCAAGACAGCAAAGTGTTGAGTGTGTGAAAAGTGTGTCGGGTCGTATTCAAAGCAGCAGACTCCAAAAAGCAAGGGTTGACAATAAAGGTCGTAATTACCAACCTACTCACAATATTCTCCATGTTTTCAAGAAATTTAAAAGTAATTGTTAAGCCATTATGTGCCTTCTTCTTAACAGAAGTAAAAAAAGAAAAGGATGGATAATGGAGAAATTTTTAAACTGAGTTCAAATGCATATGTAATCTTAATTTTCACATTAAAGTTTCTTCTCATTAATTCGAATCATGTAAGATGTGTACTCACAGAAAAAGACAACTACATGAGCATTTTCTTCAAATATTCTCTCTAGCATACGAACATTCACTTCTTCAATCCGACCTGGAATCTCAAGTGTATCTTCATCAGTCAGCCACGCTAAAACTTCATCTTCATCTTCAATATCACCTAAAGCACAGAATAACAAATGTATTGTGTACCAAAATAAAAAGAAATCACTGTAGAATCCAAATTCGGGCCCATATCTTCTGTGTATAAGAAATACACTTCCCACTAGAAACAGAATCGTCCTGCCTAGCTGCCCTCGTAAATCTACTTGGGTCAGTTACACATCTGAGCACTACAACAAAACTGTCAGTAATCTTTCTTGTCTTACGTTTATAATAAAATCTATGCTAATAAAGATCAGCTATCCTTAATGGGTTTACGATTTCTCCTCAATACTTCTATGCGAAATCATAAAAATATTTTGAAAAATATGACCTTGAAGCATGCAATTCGATGGTGACAACTATACTTTTGTACTTTCTTTGTTTCATACTCGGCAAGAGACATTCCATCAGGATTATAAGTTTAGCATATGTATTTTCCTACCTTCATAAAGAAGTATTTCCTTGTTGCGGAAGAATGCCAAGGAAGGGAACGTTTTTATGCCATGTTTCTTTGCCAAATTAATATCCTCCGTTGTGACAAAAATTATTCCAGCTTCATCCAATTCATCATCTATGTTTTCCAGTTCTTCCAGAATATTATCACATAATTCATCTTCTTCACAGCGTCCACCTGAATTGAACGAATTTTGTGTTTTAAGAAGAATTTTATGTAATACTTTACAAATACTTACTCACATTGTGGTGCAAAGCCTTTCTTTAAAAATTAATGACTACTCTACTGACTAGGAAACTTATACAGGTAATCAGTTATATTAAAATTAATTCAGGCACTTATATAAAAATCAGAATAACTCTGGTTCTCCTGGAAATGTTAAAACTGTTTCAGTCATATACTCAGAATATTTTTTCACTTAATTTATCTGCAATGTCAATATATATTATCATGGTAAAAACTAATATCACTGGAGTAACACAAGTTGTTTAATGATAAAACAATTTTATAGTCTCTACTTTTTATGTCATTTCATCTGAAATGAGTATTTAAAATGTACAATGACTGTATAGCAAAACGCCCTCCGCTCAATCAAATTTTATGTAACTTAAAAACTGTGCCAGAATTTAAATCTTACATCAATGTCTCAAGTAGATAATACTCAGTAGTAATATATACTTACTAAAGTAGACAACCACATATTCATATTCCTCAATAAGATCTTCTAGAATCTCGTCTGTCACCTCTTCAATTGTTGCAGAATTTTTCTGTTCTATCAACCAATTCAAAACCTCATCTTCATTGAGTAGGTCACCTAATATTAACAAAATGTTATTTAAAACACTGTGTGTGCTTTAGTTTTCATTATATCATCTATCCTTCAATTCTATCATATATCAACAAAACCACCTATACAATTAATATACATTCCTTTTAAAAACTGAGATAAGTGTGAAGTACATACATAATAAATATGAATATGCTGAGGTGGTTGTTAAGAAAATGCATCCTCTTTAAAACTGTGAATAAAACACTTTTGTACTAATTTTGTCAAAGATAATCATTAAATTTTATATAATTTTCTCAAAAAGAGTTCATAAAACACATGATACAAAATACTTATTAAATTGGTATATATCTTAATCTAACAAATATTAAATATTGTTAATGTGATTAAGAATATCGACTAAATTTAGCCCCGAATAGTCACCATAGTGACTCATCACAGGTACCAAAGAGTCTAGCCCCAACAAAACTTCAGACATAAGGAATGAAAAATAAAATTGCAAAATGATAACAAGTAATAAAAATAAATATAAAAATTAGTGTATTTAATGGTTATAACTCTTGTTTCAGGGAAGTTCCATGCTACTCTTCGTAGTTCTCCTCATCTCTCTGTCAAAATGTATTTTCTGAATTAAATTGTAATGAGTCAAATTTATTTTGCTGAAAATAACTTTTAAATGTTAGTATCACTCTCAGAATGTTAAGTTTTGACAAATTTTCAAAAGATTTAATATCAATCTCTAACTAACACTGTTAATTTTGAGATGTATCATAGGAACTATAAGTTACAGAACAATTTCTATATGAATATTCTTCTTTCAAGGATGTTACATTCTGCACTAGACATGCAGCTCAGATCCAGGAAACAAAAAATGCATATAAAACTTTTAAGGGAATTTTTTTTAAAAAAACTGGCCTCTTAGAATAACATAAGTGAAATGACAATAGAATTAAATTTAGTCTTTGAGGTATATGGTGTAAGAATGTAAACTGAATTTCACTGAAAGTTTTTCTTTTGTTTTGGTGCTGTTAAATTTTGGGCTTTATATCCAGAAAGTTAATTTCATACCCTTCTTTATATCCAAAAGATATGAGATATTTTTGCACATTTATGTCACTTTAATTTGTAGGTTTGAGAACTTACCTTCATATATTGCTGGCAGTTTATCTTCAAAATAGATGAGTGCCGGGAGGTGATCAATACCGTACTCCTTAGCCTCAGCGTCATTGTCAATGCGAACTATAACTATTCCTTCCTTCTCCAGATCATCATCAATATTTTCAATTTCATTTAATATTCTAATATCCTGCTTACTGTCTTTATCATCTGCAAATGTTAGAGAGTAAAATTCAGGTCAAGTTAAAAAAATATAAACACACCGAGTGTGACAAAGTAATTTCCACCAATATAGTTAGCAGTGGAAAGCTTTATGACTACCAAAATTGGAGAAATATGATGAGAAATTGAACTCTGAAATAAATATATAAAATTATCACGAGTAAGATCTATATATTAAGGTTTTGTGCAGTGATTGTTTTTCTAAATTTAATACCAATATAATATCACTTTTGGAGGAAAAATGTTCTTCCAAAATATCATTACTAAATAAGTGATATCCAGTTTCAAAACTTATGTATAATTAGAGCGTGTATTATGAAAATACATAGTATATGAATGATTTTTACTTTCCTGCCAATTAAAAACAATAAAGGTATTCTTTGTAAATTTCAATCCTGCAAGACTACATTAACGATGATGACTGGCTAAGAGTACAACTGTAAACGGACATTAGCTCTTTCTGTCTACTCCTCTTATTAACCACTCAACTGGCATTTTCTTTCTATTGCACGACATCAAGACCCATACAGTAACAAAATATTTATACACTCACTGAAAAGTAATCCTTTAAGCTCACCTATTCTTTAAAGCCAATTTCTGATTGACTTAATTTATGATAATGTACAATCTAAAAAAACATAACAATGTGAGTTTGCAGGTATACAGTGTTAATCTCAGTACTCAACTTACAAAAGAGCACAGCAAGAAACTCAATTTTTTCTTTCAGACGATCCATCATCTCATCCGTAACTTCTGGAATCTCACTATGCTTCTTCTGATGTACAAGCCACCCCAGAAGTTCTTCTTCCCGAAGCAAGTCACCTGATGAAAACAAATCTTGTGAGCTGTCGATGTGAAGCTAAAAACAATACTAAAGCCTCTTCTGTAAAAAACGGCATTACACCGTGTTCCCATCTAGAATTTCAGAAACTAATGTAGTTAAGTAAACTTTACCACTGTGGTTAGTGTTGTTATGAACTGTACAGTTATCATTCCCATTCTGGGTTGTTGCGCCGTGTAGTATGGTACATGTCCACAGCGTTTCAGAGGTCATGTTGTCTCCGTACCAGGGCCCTGATGACGGAGGCAGTATGACCCCCGAAACGTTAGTAAACATCTACCAGACTACACAGCGCAACAACCCAGAAGACAGAAATCTTCATACTCATCGCCCTGATGATGGAGGCAGTGAGACCTCTGAAACGTTGGTTAACATCGACCAGACTACACAGCGCAACAACCCAGAAGACAGAAATCTTCATACTCACCGCTGTGAAAACCTCAAATCCTACATATTTCTATCTCTTTTAATGTAATTTCCAGAAATGCTACTGTTGAGCTATTGGCTAAATTTTGTTGAGAATCTAATTGAAATAACTATTATTATGATAAGTATATCTCTTTTAATGTAATTTCCAGAAATGCTACTGTTGAGCTATTGGCTAAATTTTGTTGAGAATCTAATTGAAATAACTATTATTATGATAAGTATACATAATGAATCAAGTAAGTCTGTACCCATTCTGGAGTCTACCGACAGGGAATGAAAAATACATACAAAACTTTTTCAGGATAGAAAACTATGAGACCGGATCAGTGTTTTAATATGAAAGAATATTAGCTAAGTTAACTCAATATTTATCTATAACATGTTTCGAGGACCTTTTGCAGAATGACAGTCTTTGCTTTTCACATGATGAAACATTGTTTACTAGAACTTTTATTTGAAATGGTAATTTCAAATTTTAGAAATAAGATGAAGTTAGAAAAATGCACCCAAAAAATAAAGTTATAGAAATATTCTCTGCGCATTTTAAAATACTGTTAGCCAGGTTCCATTACCACCTTAGAGTGAATCCCATTTATCTACTGAAGTTGTTCAAGATGTCGTATGTTCCATGTCATGAATAATATCAATGGAAAAATTGGATTCACTCCACTTCGAAGAACCCAGTTACCAACATACTCCACTAAAGTACAGCCATAAAAAAATAACATAAAGAAGGAGCAATTACAGCAAGCACGCCAGACCATAACAGTCAAACAACAAAGATTATGTGACCTGACTGCAGCTGACTGTCAGTGTTCCCCTACTGGCACACTCTCAGACTAGAACAGCTGGCTCCAAGAGTCAAATGTGGGTATAAATGTAATGGGTACTTGTTTTACTCAACGCACTAGTCCTCACAAAGGAAAAAGATACAGCCTCCAAAAATAATGAATACTAACTCCATTCTCAGAGCTCACTGCCCAAAAAGAATGCATTACATTCAGAATACACAAGAGCTTAAAATTTTATATTCATTAAATAACATTTTCTTCAGTTTTTAATTTTAAAACTTTTGGAACATCATGATATTTAAACTCTTAATAAAATACAATAAAATCTTCTCGGGCTATCAGCCGCATAAGTGGTTAAAATATGAAAATACCAACGTTTCGAGGTCCATCTCTGTCCTCGTCCTCAGGGTACTGAAGTGAGGACGAGGACAGAGACGGACCTCGAAACGTTGGTCTTCTCATGTTATAACCACTTGACGTGGCTGACAGCACGAGAAGATTTTATTGTACATAGTCGCCGTGAGAGCCCAAGGTCTTAATAATATACTTAATATCAATAAGCATTACCTTCATACACATGTGGTATCCTCTTCTCAAAAAAAACCAATGTGGGAACAATATCAATGCCATATTCTTTTGCTTCTTCGTCATTATCGATCTTTACAAATGCTATTCCATTTGAATCACATTCGTCATCTATATTCTCGAGTTCAACTAAGACTTTCTGGCTCTTCTTTTGGTCTTTGTCATCTAAATAAAAACATAACAGCAAATTTTATGACAATAATATTAATACTACATTCCGTAATGTATTTACAATTGCAAACAGTAATTAAAAATTGTAATCAAAGTGGAATTCAACTGAATGATAATTTTTGTACGAGCAAACAGTAATTCATGAGCTGCACTGCATTTCATTGATAAATTATAAACTTATATATAACATTAAGAAACATGTACGACAGAAACGTTTGATTTCTGAATAGCACTCTTTGTTAATTCAAAATATTATAAAAGAGAAACTGTTTAGGATAAAAATAAAATAATACTCACAGAAAAGTACAGCAACATGTGGCATTTTTTCAATGAGCATATCCAACATTTCATCTGTTATATCTTCTATTTCATCACTCTTTACCTGATGTTCCAACCATACCAATACCTTTTCTTCATCCTCCAAATTTCCTACAAATCACATAATTAATTAAATCATAATAGTTTGGTGAATAAAAATGATATAAGTTTTTCCCATGTCCCCCTCAATGTTCCCCTTAAATCTGATTGTAGACCCTCATTCTAAGATCTCATAAAGTGTCATTTTGTGGCAAAATAGGCAGGTATACAAGGAGATATTATCTCCCAATTATGTTTAACTACATATAAAAATACAGGTAACCCTCGATTTGCGCCGATTCAGAATAACGCCGATTTTGAAACCAGCAAGTCAAAAAGTGATAAATATATTTTACTATTATTTATAACATTTTACAATGTTTCTGGTACTGATTCTTATACTAAATCGTAATTCTTACATCGCTGATTTTGAATAAATACAGTCACCTCTGCACTCATTGCTAAGTAGTTGCAAGATAATCTCCAAAAAATCTGCCAACATTGCGCAAGTCTCACGTGAGCATTGGTCACTCTTGACGGTGAGTCATTTGCGTTCAGCCTGATAAGGGAGTAACGAAAAATGCCTCTGAGTTCGCTTTTTGTTGACACATTGAATGTGCTGAAAACTGTGTGCTAAACGTGTCTGTGTTGTTCGACCACTATTCTGCAGTAGCAACTCTTTTATATTTATAAATTGTAGAAGAGCCACCATGTCTGGTAAGAGAAGTGAATGTGTTGCTAAAATGTTACCTATGTCTATTGCGTTAGAAGATAATATGGACGTAATTCTTAGAATAGAAGGTGTTGATCCCCGTCGTAATGTGTGCAGAAGTATGAAGTTGTCTCCTTCCACTGTGACTACCATAATGAAAAATTCATATAAAATAAAACAGTCAATGCAACAGGCTATGAGAGTAAGTGCAATGCAAGTGAGTTATAGCAGAAGTAAACTTTTAGAAAGAATGGAGAAATTACTGTTGATATGAATCGAAAAAACATTCCCTTGACTGAAATTGCTATCACAGATAAGGCGAAGTCAATTTTTGAGGAACTTAAGTCAGCAATGTCCGGGTGCCGGGAACGCATGTCATTGACTTCTCATTGATTTACATTATAAAAAGAGTTTCAATTTACGCCGATTCCATTCACGCCAGTTCGTCTAGGAACGCATCCCCGGCGCAAATCGAGGTTTACCTGTACATATAAATCTGACTTAAACAAAATTTTCCACCAAAAATTGCAGCAAAAGTTCTACTACTTCACACTAACAGAATTTAAATAAAATACTGTATAGTTAACATGTACTTAATAAGTGATGTTGATATATAAAGTATAAATAGACAAACTATATTGCTTTTAAAAAATATAAGCCACAGTACAGTCTGTGCAAATAAAATCGCATAAATCAGGTTGCAATAACCCTATACAAATAAATGACAGCTCCACTCCATCTAAGAGATATTTAATTAAAATATAAAAGAAAAATCAATTTAGAGATACTACAAGAGATATTCATAGGATCTAAAACCCCAGATAATATATAAACTACAAGTGAAAATTCCACTTCTATACCTACTTTTGGAAATAATCTTCTTCCCCTCTGCTAAGCCACCTGTCCCCCTCTCCCTCCCTCCCACCCTTCTACTGGTGGATCATCAAAATAAATGACTGGGTGGACTGATAAGGAGTATGGTGTGGTATGAAACAATCCAGCGTGAAAACGATGTGGCGACGCAGATTACCCTAACAATACTGCCACTTTCTTACTGGACAAGGCAGAAAAGATTCCCCAAGCTGTAAAAACAAAAGCAGCAGTGTGGCCGCTACTGCGGCTTTTAGATTTATTGGCCCTGTGGTAAAAAATCCTTATACGACGTGCGATCGGAAAGTTTCAAGACTGTGTCAATAGCGGGCGAACTGGATGTAGTACGAGCTTCTGCTTTTAGGGGTACCATCAACGACTTGTGCGACATTGTTGGGATAAGTTATGGGACCTGTCAGATGATTCTAAAGGAAGAACTCCACATGCGACGCATCATGACAACGCGCCAGCGCACACCGCCCTCAAAGTTCGCCAGTTTTTGGCCTCAAACACCATGGCCGTCATCCTGCACCCTCCTTATTCGCCGTGTGACTTCTTCCTCGTCCCAAAGATGAAAATTCAGCTAAAGGGAAGGAGATTTGAGACGATAGAAGAGATTCAGGCAGAATCGCAGATGGTGATTGACATTCTGACAAAGAAAGATTTCCAGGGATGCTTCCAGGCTTGGCAGTGGCGCTGGGATCGTTGTGTTCACTCCCAGGGGAATTACTTTGAGGGTGATGGATGAATTTAATACCTGAGATAAGTGTACGGGTTTTTATAGGCGCAGTCTAGAAACTTTCCGATCGCACCTCGTATATGTTCTATTCTTTTACTAGAATGATAAACATGTACGTATTAAACACCCGCAAAATAAGTGATCTGAACACATACCTTCATATATTGTTGGTATTCCTTTTTCAAAGTACATGAGGGTAGGCAGTTTCTCGATACCATACTCTTTTGCTTCATCTCTGTTGTCAATCTTCACAAATACAATCCCAAGTGTATCACATTCATCATCTATATTCTCCAATTCATTCAACACATGTTGTGACTTACGCTCATTATTGTCATCTAAAAAAAATCAGGCCTTTAATTTACATTGTAATCCGATTTAATGCAGTCTTTCTCAACTTGATCTTCATCACTCTAAAACAGTGGTCCCCAACCTTTTTGTGCCTACGGGCACATTCGAGAGTTTATGAGTCGTGGCGGGCACGAACCAATTAACAAAGCCAAATTTTTATTTTCTCTGGACAAATAAGATCTGGACACCAAATAATACACAAAACGACACGACGTTTAATGATGCAATCAAAAATACGTAGTTTTATAAGTACAATTACTATTACTCAAGTGGGAAGTTAGTGCGATGTTTGGCGCTGCATTTCATCGGCCAGTTTTCCAAATTTGGGAGTGTAGGATGATGTTGCTGCTCGCAAACAATCGTCAAGATGGGCGTCAGTAAGTCGAGATCTGCGCTTTGATTTTATAATGTTCGTGGTTGAACGGCCTTAATGCCTTCTGATAAAAACAATTGCGCATCAATAAAGTATACATACTTCCAAAATACACAGTTTTTATTTTGCCCCCTCACTAAGTTTATTTACTTCAGAGACAAATTTATGATGGCACATGTAATAAAGAGTTTCACTTTGTCATTACTGTTTGTATGTGTGTTACATGAAATAATGTCCCACATAAACATCAGACATCTTAATGAGATCCATGTTTTATGTCACATACAAATGTTCAATCGATCACTTGTTACAAAATAGGCAGAGACGTGAATTGAACATATTTAGGCTTTGTATCGTACTTAGTATTTTTCTTTTTTGTTTCATTAAAGAATCATTACATTAGATTTTTTTTATTTGTAGTGTTCTGTCTGACGACAGGTCCACATGAACAGGATCCTTCCATCCTTTTCTTGGACTGGGACCTGTTCATATACGTTCTTGGCAGATGATCCAGAAGTGGTTTGCCATTGCCTTCTTCTGTGTGTGAATGGAGTAATTGTTGGGATGCCACGGAGAAACCGGGGAAGCCCACAGAGGAAAACTACGTGTTGCCTAGACCACGGCCTTGCCCAACACAAGTTATAAATTTGAGCACCACCAGGAATTGAACCCAGGACCCCAGGCTTACAAGGCTAGTGTTCTGACCGCTAGACCACCGTGGTACATTAGATATGTTTCATAAAATGTTTTTGAGCTTAAAAAGATCAACTATAAAATTATCATGTGCACACGTTACACGTGATAAAGTACTTTTGATCAAATACAAAGTGTGACTTCCTCTTCACATGATGTCAGCTCCATAACAATCAAAATCAAATTCAACATGAGACTTTGCAAATTTATTATGAATAATAAAAAACACTCATAAAACTTGTTTTTTATAGTGGTAAAAACTGATTTCATCAAAATCAACCAATTATATTATTTTTGGAAAATGTGCCAGACGTAATAAGTGCCTCAAATTTCTGTTTGTGGACGTGACCAAAAGAGTATAAATAAAATATCAGAAAAATAATTTCACTCATTTTCATGCTCTTGCTTGCAATTATTTATAAGATTTAACTTGTACAAAACCATATATTTATCTTACAAATTTCAATACTATAATGAAAAAATCTCAGATTTTAGATACCATTAATCATTCAAAGTGGAAGTTATACAGAATGAATTTTCATACTGAACTTAGAACTTTTTCATTCCTCGTTCCCTTAATAAGAATTTACTCAATATTTTAAGAATAACAAATGTGATTTCTTACAGAATAACACTGCAATGGTTTTGCCTTCCTTGATTAGCCTGTCCAGCATTTCATCTGTGACATCTTCTATCTCATCCTTCTCCAGTTGATCCACTAACCACTCCAGGATTTCGTCCTCATTCTCAAGGTCACCTGATAAACAGATCCACAAAATATTAATATTTTGGCCCATTAAACCACAGACAAAAACAGACAGAAATATCTTACTACCAGCCATTTCAGTGACTATCTTTTATAAGGCAATATGGAACAAAACAACTCTAAATTCATTAGGTAAGTCTGTTCACAATTATTTTTGAAAAATGGCTGATATACAGCATTTCATCTTCTTTGAATAAAAATTTCCTTGGATATTATCCATCGTCTAGTAAATATAAAACGTAAAACAACATTTCGGAGATAGGGATTAGCTCTATCTAGTGGGCCAAACTGTGTAGGAACCTGAAGACGGAGATAGAGTCCCATCTCCGAAACGTCGTTTTACGTTCTATATTTACTAGACGATGGATAATATCCATGGAAATTTTTATTCAAATGACTCTTCACCATTGTCAAGAAGTTTTAGATTTCATATTTCATCTTCTTGTTCCTTGGCTCTACAACTCAGTCGTGGGTCTTCGTCACCTCCTTTTCGGAGGCTTTCCTAGTCTTCGAAGTGTGCATTTGTGAGTAGCGAGTGACCAGCCCACTGCCTCTGCACAATTTCTACTCAATCCTGATCTGACTACTAGAGCCATCTAGCAGTGAATCAGGGGAGACCTGGGTGAGAAATGGCCGCTCAGTTTTGCTTACGAAACATCTTGTGCAATACACCATTTCATATCTCCTGGTAATTTTTAATGGAGAAGTGGAAATTGCTTATTTTTTGCACAAGTCTATAATTTTTGCTCTGGTTATGGCACTGTAAATGACATGATAATTACACTGCATTGAATGTATCTGTATAAAAATGACTTGACTTGTGTGATAGTATAGTTTGATAATTATTTTAAACATGTTAAAAATAAATCAGATTGGGTGACTTCCTCCCGCATATCCGAACTCTACATTCGTTGTGGCCGGAGTTACAACAGCTATAAAAAAATCTGTAAATTCCATCTAAATCCTTTTGTTTATTAATTTGTACATATCATACCATTAAAATAAATTAATCCTCTATGAAAACAGAACACTTACTGTCACTTACCATCATAAACATTTGGAATTCCTTTCTCGAAGTATACCAGTGCTGGCACATCATCGATGCCAAATTCCTTAGCAGCTGAGTCATCATCTATCTTAACAAATTGGATTCCATGTTTGTCACAGTCATCATCAATTGTCTCCAACTCACCAAGCACCTGCATTGAGTCTTCATCGTCATTATCATCTGCAAAAATGGCCTTAAAAATAAATTTCTTTCTGTATTTTGTTGCTGAAATGCAATAACAGGGGTCACTAAATTATGGGTTAGAAGGACACGTGTGAAGCACATTTTTATAAAAAAAATTCATACATGAGTGAGCATTTTAAAAGACTCTCTTAGTATCTATTTGGTCTGTTAAAAAAATTATTTGACTTACAAACAATTATTCTCAAATACAAGGTCATATTTGATATACTTTTGAGGAAAACTGATTTTGTTTTCACTAACCATTAATTATTATGTTCACGGAGTTAGACATGTGTTCGAATCTCGGCATTGTCTAAAAGACAGCCCAATTCCTATTCTTCTTCGTTTATTTACTGATGCTTTCAAAATTCCAAATTACTTAGCATCAAATAATACGATGATTAGTAAATAATGAATTATAAAGAATGTAAAAGAAAACAGCCATAGCCTAATAAAAAGTAATATCTTTCAGACTTATACTTAAATGAGGCTAAAATAGTCAAACTGGTTCATGGGAATAACACGCATCAAATTTATTTTTATACCGATATCTCAAAATAATGAACCAATTAAATTTAATTTCTAAATTAAAAAGAAATAAATGCTAATGAAACACACTGATATTTAAAAATAACATCTCTTTAAAAGAAAGAAAATCAGTTCTTAGCAAATCAAAAAAAATTTCAAATTCACATTCAGGAATTTTATAAAAACGTGTTAATAGACGAAATACCATTCTGTTAGATCGTTTACAACATCCGAAAACACGAGTCAACTCACAAAAGAGAACTACCAGGTTGTCGACAGAACTTATGAGTGTGTCTAATGCTTTCGCAGTGACATCTTCAATAACATCTTCTTCATCTCCTGTTGACTTATTCTGCACCAGCCATTCCAGCACATCTTCCTCTCGCGTCAGTTCACCTAAACACAGTACACGTAAATTAAACGCTGTTCTACAGGCGTACCAATGGTCTGATTTCATTAACATGAACACATTACAAGGGAACATTTAATTCTACATTTCACAGATCTGATTCTTCATTTATTCAAACTATCTACTAATTATTAATTTCATTACTACTGCATCATTAAATTTACAGAATAGAGTTAATAAGCAATAGATAGACCAAAGATGCTAAAGCTTACTTGTATAAATGATGGGTATTTTATGACGATAATACACCAACGCCGGAAGTTGCTGCAAGTTGTACTCTTCCGCTAGGGCTTCGTCAGCAATCTTAACAAAGCCAATCCCAAGCTGATCTGCTTCGTCATCGATGTTCTCCAACTCTTGTAATGCCTTTATGCATCTCTTGCATTCAGGTTTATCTACGTGACATCACGTTAGTCAGATACAGTATGTATTTTACTTAAAATTTAATTAGTTTCAATCCAAAATAAAATCATAGGATGGTAAAGTTGCGTCATATTGTGATATAATAAGTATATATTAAATCTTGTCCGTCTAATCACAATAAACTCTTATTAAATATTAAAATATTACAATAATTAACATTTAAAATATTTAAAATATTAAATGATGTTCTTTATCGAATATTTCGATAAAGAACTTAACTTGCTTTACTGTGAAAAACCACAAATACTACGTAATCTACATTTAAGCGTTTGAAGCAAGATGACCATCTAAATATATAAGCCTAATATTTAAGCTCAAAGTAAATACAATACACATTTATTAGATAAATAATCACTGTTTATTCTGAAAATCAAATAAAAGCAATAAGTACACTCTGAAGGGAAAGCGAAGAGTTAGTAATGGTTAAAGCAGGTGGTACATGTAGTTACCACAGAAACCATGTTTTTTTCCAGTGGAAAGATCTGTAATCAGGGTAATGCACCTTCAGGATAGATAAAATGCTGGAGAATTTTTTAACCAGCCAGCCCTGGATGAGCTGCTCACAGAGGACTCTATGACACAATTAATTTATTAAGTCGCGGAAGGATACTAATGGGCAAACTGAAAAGTAAGATAGAAGATAATATTAAAACTGATCTTGTAAATCTTAAGTGTGAGGTTATGAAATTAACTAAGTTACGTTATGATAGGGGTAAGTTCAATATTTCGTGGAGACGTTGGTAATGTTTATTTAATGACATTATCAGTAACTCTGACCATATGATACTCAATAATAGGGCGATTAATTGATCATGAATTATAAAGTATATTGGAAACACCGATGAAGGTCTAATTTAAGGTAATATCACGAAATTGTCCTTGAAATAAGAAATTTCAAGATAGCCGGTCTCCGAGCCTACATTTGAACCCGGGAACTCCGAAATACGTTCGGTGTGACGTTGGTTAATTTCAGATTTCTATAATAGGGATTTTGTGAATGACTAAACAGCAACTACTTCTTCAGGAAAACCGTATTTTTAATGTGTTTACAAATGTATTTAAAGACATTTTCTCATTTTAACCAAATAAATAGCACTAAAATATTGTTAACAGCTCTACAAATAGGGCATTGTATATTTTAAGGCACCTACCAAGCAATTTCATGTAAGAACCGAATAAAATTCAGAGAAAGTGAATATTTTGGCCTACGATTCGAAAACTGCACTTACAGAATGTGGAGTACACCACTCAACGGTAACTTTTTTACGAATCATCAAACCCTAAGTTTTTAGTGCTTTGTGTGGAGGACAATTACGACTAAGAGAAACAAACACAGTCTATTATACGATCAATATAAACACCTGGTAACGTCTTTCAATATTTAACTAGGAATATACAAGGCTATTATAAACAGAATTATTTGTGGTATTTGTCTCATATTACTATGAAAGCAAATGACACGATGTTTCAGTAGTTGCGCAAGCCAGATAAGAAACAAAACTAGTATGAGCTATTTTCGTATCGATAATTCTCGTTACCCCAAGATAAAAACAACTTTTCCATAGAAAGTATCCGTTTATATGACTAATGTCCTTATAATATATTACTAACCAAACACTTCCCCAAAAAAGTCACAAATTTCTATGTTTTGATTAAGTTATCAGATTAAGCAAGTATTATCTTCGTGGTTACGGATAAGTCAACGAGATTTCATATAAGTAAGCTATAACCTGATTTTTGCCTCAATTAAATTAATAAATGAGTGACCTTTTTCTGTTGTATTTATGAATATCGCTGCTGTCTATGTAAAAGATGATTATAAATAAGTAAAATTTAAAAAAATATTTTAAGTACCTAAATTTCCAGTGAAATATATATTAAATTGCCATGGACAATGTGCTTATTCAGGTTTCAAGAATGTCTGTGACCCATTGACATTCGATCAAATCCAAGATCAGTTTAGACTGATTTTAAGCTACTTAATATCCGTGTTACAATTATCCTATCATATAAATACAAATATCTGCGAGTATTAAATTATAACTCACGTTCAAAAGTATGTATCATGGACGATACATTGAGTTATAAGCTTCGAGTCAAACAATCTGTAAAAGCATGGCCAGACGGAGGAATTCTATAGACTGCATTTATAATTAGGGTGATTCCCCTTTCTCTCTGTCTTTTAAAATGTACCTCCCCTCCTCTGGATTTGATTGGACTTAGTGTTCCTCCCCACCACTACCAGCATCCTCCCCTAATACCGTGCCTTGAACCTGGTCGGCCGCTTTCAGAAATAGCCCATTTCGTGTGTAAAGTACTATATTGCCCGTTCTCAATTTGTTTGCATTACTGTAAGTTTCATGTTCGTTGGTCCTACTATAATTTTAGAAAACATTTTCATTTAAAAATGTAATTTCGAACACAATTTGTGATTTCAGTTCACACCAACACTAATCCCAGATACGAAATCTCGTTTTGATTAAAGTATCGACTTCTGAGGAATTTTATCGCATAAACTGTTCCCTTAAATGTAACGCTCATCTGTGGGATGTTTATGTTTAAAATTACAGCAATTATAATATATAACATTTATAATTTAATTGTCAAATCACGATTCATTTTTTTCTATTTCTTAAAGTATTTAACCGAATACCCACATAACACGTAACGAAAACACATTTGTTCAGCGATTGGAACTGATTAAATAGCAGTACTTTATACAAACGATTATGGCGTTACTTAAAATCTGTTACAAACTAACAAAAAAGTAAGTTTGCATCTGTACAAATATTACGTTGTCTATTCCTATACAAGAATTAATTTTAGTAACTTCAAACTTTCTTTCTGTAAAATATGAGATCGTTTTAGTGTAAATGCATAAAGTTAAGCCAACCATTAGGTCTTCCATATTTAATTCTATTTTTCATTTTCAGCGTTCTAGTAAGAGAAAATAACACCTCATGGGCCAGCCCATATTTGTCGCAATTTTCCTTCCGCGGAAGGGGGGGGGGGTGCAATCTGCATTACTTGAGGTCTTAGTTACGCGACAATGGGAACCCTCGGTTCACTGGAATACATTTTTGAGACCTCGGATCATATTAATGCAATAATGACCTTAGTGAACACCTTTTTGGAATATCAGTGTATTCCAAACAGTACACATTTCCAATCTTATTTTTCCCACTTACTTTCATTAAATTTATTTTATATCTTATTTTTTCTTTATCAAATTCGCCAAATTACAGCAAAAAGTTCTGACTTCCTTTGTGACAACGGCGACAGGTGACACCTAAGTGACCATATTAAATACAAATAACTTAGAGCAGAATAAGTTTGCGTATTTGTTTTATAAATCAACACCTCTGTGCTCCAAACTCTAGTCACGACCTCATGTTGAGAACTAAAAATGTAGGCTGTGTCCTAGTGTATAAATTTCATCTTTTCTAAGTCCCTTGTTTTGTCGGAAGGTTTTCCTATTGTCTCATTGACGCCCGCGTTCAGAGGCTACACCAGATTTAACACAAGTGTTATGTTGGTTGCGTTATATAAGGCGCCAACCAAAATCAGAGCAATGGTATTTCTATTGTGTATTCATTTTCATAAAAATTATTTAAAATAAAGGCTAATTTTTATTTCTTTTTTTTACTGCAAATCCTCTCCCCCGAAGCGCCTGTATGGCGTATAGTGGGATAGCTTTACTTTACTTAGTGAAAAGAATACAAAGGAAGTTTAAGATTTATAGCTGACATGAATGTTAACAGATGTTTCTGAACTTTTATGATCTCGTAGGAAAAAATGTTTGAACGGACTCAGAAATAATTTATAGTCATCTGTGCTAATCTCCTGGGTTAAAGGAATACAATACGTCGTCTTGGTTTGACCTCATTCCTTTCAACCAGATCCAGGGCTTAGCAATGATAGTTATTCCAAACGTTAAAATTTTTTTCTAATATTCAAAGTTGTGAGTGTTATTTTAAGTTCTCTTATGCTAACTTCGCGTGACAGTTTGTGCCATAAATTTGGAAAACTGATTTTTTCATATAGACTGTATTAAATTTCATAGTCACGTAAGAAACAAGTACACTGACTAGAAAATTAAATTAAAGACTGTAACTGAAATACAAGAATTTCAGCATAAAAATAAAACGATTTCCTCTGTATGTAGATACCAGGAAAAATACGCAAGCTTATTTCACTGTGGGTTACTGTACCGTATATTGTTTCAACTGTTCATCATATCCCACTTAAAACTCCGATTTTCCTTATATTAGCTGTCATTTAATACGATATTCCGTATTTTTATCCTATTAAATTTTCATAGTTTTAACACAGCATAAGTATTATCCTTTAAAATGAATAACTGCTTTTAAGCATTATATTCAGTCTGGTTAAATAGTCGATAATTTAATTATCTATTACTTGTATTTCAGCTAAAAAATATGTGTAAGTTCGTAAAGTTCGTTTTAAACAAACGTCAATGGACCTAAGTTTCTTTGTTTGGTCCAAGCTGACGACAATTATCATCCGATCGATATCTCACAAAACGAGTTCTATCGAATGTCTTAAGCAGTGACCATTAGTAGACAAATTTTACATTAGATGGGGTTAGGTATAAAAATAGGAAATATTGTAAGAAATACTGGCATTGCCCCAGACAGAAGGACAGAGTGACAAACGTCTAGAAGAGAATTCATAATACGTGATTTCCAAACATTGTTCCATGGAAATACGTATATGAAATGAGGTTAGAGATTTCTTCATGAGTATATTGTTACACACGAAGACGTCCCAAAATAAGTTTCTTATACTTAGAAATAAGTCTCCAAATACATCATGATGTAATAAAATAAATAAAAGTAGATTAAAATACATACTCAAAAGCCAGTCTTACAATGGGCAATATCTTTATGCTTATAAAAACACTTATTTTACAATTAATCGAAAAATTACAAAACTGACTACGAGTTTATTGTGAATAATGCAGAACATTTTTTTATTGCTTTAAATCAATGTTTGTGGTATTTAGTACCAGGCTTTGAAATATTAAATATTATTACATTCTCCGGAATTTTTAAAATAATTTTGAATGTAAGTTTCGCATTCGTAGGTTATGGTAGCCTTGTTTCATCGTTTTAAAGCATAGAATAACGTTCTGCAGTAAAAGCAGAGCACTCTGTGAAGCTGAAACGGAACTAAGCAGATGTTAGACAGATGGTGTTAAATAGAGTAGCCTGTATGTAGGCTACTTCATACACACTTGCGGATAATTTGTCCACTGGCAGTTGGTAAGTGTATAAGCATGATGAAAGTGAAAAGATGATTATGTTTACTTACTCGAACCATTTGGTGGACAAGTCTTCGAATCTGGACCTAATAATATAAAACATGTAACATGTAACGGATTGACATTCACAAAGAAAGGACAGGTCACCATTAGTGTTGATAAAATTGGTGCATCCACCAACAAAATATGTTAGAGGTAAAATTTACCTTCGACAATGTAACCCTTACTTTGACTTTAATCCTTACGAAATTCTGATTAAAATGAAGTCATCATTTAATAGCATATAGGAGCATCTACCGATCGACTGATTTTAAGACTAAAAATCAGTTACCGAAATGTCAAATGTTAGATTTTAATGATTATGAATAGAGATCTATGGGAAGTGATACATAGACGAACAACAAAGTCACTTAATTTTCACCAATATCGGAAGCGGATATTTTTGTGTAACTGACAGGATCAGGTGGGATGTCCGAAAGGCAGATGTCTGCGTTCTTCAGAGGATAATTAGCAATTGTGTCCGCTTGGAAGAGTGCCATGGTTTGTCTGTTAGTTACGCAATGTGGCCCACCGCGAGCTATAACCTGACTCGATTCAAGAGCGTAAAATGGTTGCTTCATTTGCTCAAGGGCCCTCACAAAATTCCTTCTGTTGGTGTACTGCACAACTGGAATATAGTTCAAGAAATGGCACATTAATAATTACGTTGTTTTTCTTTTGTAGGTTATATGTTTCACTTTTGTTCTGTAAAATTTGGTGTTGTTTTATTAAATTTATTTTGCTGTCTCTGTAATTGGCTTTTCTAGCTGTTGAGGTAGCAAGTTAAAATAAATTACTTGAATTTCACACAGATTTTTTTTCTACCCGGGATTGTATTGAGCATAGAATTTCATACAACAAAAAAGATGAAAATCAGGGATGTAGCTTTAAAAACAAAATATAAAAAATCAGGGACATATATTTTTAAAAAACAAAATATAAAAAATCAGGGGTGTAGCTTTAAAAAACAAAATATAAAAAATCAGAGACGTAGCTTTAAAAAAAACAAAATATAAAAAATCAGGGATGTAGCTTTAAAAAACAAAATATAAAAAATCAGAGACGTAGCTTTAAAAAAAACAAAATATAAAAAATCAGGGATGTAGCTTTAAAAAACAAAATACAAAAATCAGAGACGTATATTTAAAAAACAAAATATAAAAATCAGGGATGTAGCTTTAAAAACAAAATATAAAAATCAGGGATGTAGCTTTAAAAAACAAAATATAAAAAATCAGGGATGTAGCTTTAAAAAACAAAATATAAAAATCAGGAATGTAGCTTTAAAAAACAAAATATAAAAAAAATCAGGGGTGCCGTGTTGTGCATCATGAAATATGAAGTATAAAATATTCATCTGCTAGAATTTTAACCCCTTCCCCAGCGTCTCGGAATTTGGCCAACACTTTTTAAAAAGTCACACTCAACCACTGTATAAAATTGTAAATTTACCTCTAACATAAGCTTCAGTGGATTTTATACTGCTAATCTACAATGACTACCTTCTTTCTTGACATGAGATTAACAGTTATATTTTGGTAACACTGAATACTGTTTTAATACACGTGCGTGTTGGAAAGAAATGAAAAAATTCTCATTCATATTTTTAGATAAAAAATATTTAACAATTACATTTTAATACATTTAACACTAGTTCTAACACAAAGCTATAATTGAACTAAATTACAACGTCTTACTTACATAAGACACTTAACATGTCTACACAAAACGTACAGAGACGCATATGAGGGATCAGGGATACCATTTTTATAGCTTCGTATTATTACCAGGTTAAAAAAAAATACGAAAAACTGACAAAGACAGTGTGAATCTGTCCCTTGTATGGCACAAACTATAAAGGCGTAGAGAATAGAGTTAATCACGTGGTAAGAGACTTTTAATAGAAGTTTTAGCGTTTTCTGATTAATAAACGTACCTTCAAGAATAAATTATTACATTACAAAAGCTTTATAATCTATAAATCTGTGTTTAAAGTACTCTTTCAGGACGTCATGTCCAACTGGATTTCGGTATCATGGAATAATACAGCATGTTTATTAACGAACCATTTATCGTTCGAAAGGTTAACACTCCTGACAGCTCAGAACATAAAGTCAATAAATCTCCAATTCTTTCCAACTGGCAATACAAGAGGAGTTCAATTAGTAAATGAAACAGTTATATGTCCCATCACGACAGTGGTACTGGAATCTTCACATATTTTATACAAGGTAAACATATAATGAATATTATAAAAAGAAAGACAAATTTTGATGAAAATAAGTCTGTTCTGCGTTGATATTTATGCCTTTTAAGAAGTTCTACATAAGTTTGATTACACTTACAGAAAAGAACTGCTACATAGTCAGTATCCTCAACAATTTTTGACAGGATCCTGGCATTAACTTCCTCGATCCTGTCTGGGAGATCCATCGCTTCAAGACTCGTGAGGAAATCAAGTACGTTTTCTTCATCCATAAGATCTCCTGTAAAATAAATAAGCGTTTAGAACAAACGGAGAATCCTTCCTTCCACGTCATGATGACGTAAGAAGGATTAAAAAAATGTTTAGTCAGTTTACTTTGGCACTAAAATGCAGATGAGTGGTCTGCTTCAGAAATGGCACCTTTAGGAAGAGGCCCTAGGACTTGGTTTGGAAAACTAAATCAACTGTACATTCCTGTGTAATGAATGAGCATCCTTATATCAAATTTCAGAATTCAAACATAGTTCCGTATTTTATTTTTTTTACAATTGTATAAACGTTAACAAGCTCTGAATTCAAATTCCACTAATTAATTGACATTACCAATCTAAATAAAAACCCAGACTATTCTATACACTAAATATAAACAAATTAAGATCGATATTTCAGTACCCTCATGGATTACATTCTTAAAACGTCAATGTTATAAGGAGAAAAATATATAAATTTATAACAAACATGAAGCATTATTATGTTCTTGTACATCCATACTTTCAACTCCGACATTTAACCTTTAGACCCCAATGTTAACATGTACTGTCATCTTTAATAGCGACTCTGCAATTCCCACTAAATTTATTTAAAAGTTTAGTATGATTATCTAATTAAACATCGATTATTTACCTAAACTGAAGCCACCGATTAAACTTTAAAATAATGAACTATTGTGTTTTCTTTGCGGTACGGGCTGAATGATCAAATATATTTATAGGAGCTTCAGATTCAAAAAGTTGAGTAACTGAGCAGCTCCGAGTATCGGTAAATTAATATTTTGATGAAATTACGTTTAAGTCAAAATAATATATTCCTTCGGCTTTTACGGTTTAGCCGTGTCATATTTTTAAGGTGTTCCGTCATTAGGGTACACGCTGCAGCTGCCATCTTGAAGACAAATGTATAAGGAAATGGATCCGTTGTTTAGTTCTGGCAGTGGGAATCGAGCAGCGAATCGGAGATTTATCGAATGAGGATATCGAACGTCGAGGTCGAACGATTGATTTCTATCTCGTTTACGGGACGTCCCAGGTTCAAATCTGTGACATTGTGGTCAATAATGCGGTTGGTGAGGAAGAGGGCACGAAAAAGGTTGAGTTGAGAAAAGTTACAAAAAACAGAAGGTGGAAGGAAGCTTTTAAGCTTTTAATGAAATTGAACTAAACTATTTTTAGAGTGATAACATTAAGATCGTAAAGATTTGTTAAATATCGAATGTTGTTAATTACTTAATAAAAACATTACATAACATTGTCAGTCTAATTAGGGTAAAGATAAAATGAACTTGGTAGGTGACGTGGAAAATACAATCTCAGAATTTTGATATCGCAACACCAGATAGATCGAATACCAGGTGGTCCTAATACAACGCGACGTGCTGACATGAAATAGGCCAAGTTTATTCAGGGCGGTTGGGTTTCGTTTCATAAGCGAATAACTTCGTAACCGTCTACACCACCGGCTTGTAATTATAACAAGACATTTAATAATTGCTTAAATACAAGATGACTATAAATTACATCATTATTTTAAAGTCAATAACCTGGAATATTAATTTTTTAAATAAAAACGTTGTCTCTTTCACCTGGTTTAGAATGTAACACAATGCATTCGTCAGTTCTGTGTTGTGTATTGCAGCATGTTACATGCCAGAACTAACTCGTATGCCAAAACCACTTGAAGAAACGTTGTAGTGACTCAACCTACTGACCTATATTTAAGCGTCTGTCTCAATTTAGCTTCAGAGGATTGCTTAAACTGTGTGACGTTTCGTTGTGACATAACAATCAAACGTCTGCTGTTTTCTCACTTTGTTAAATACTTTTTAGGCGCGCTCGTAACTAAGAGTTTAAAAACGCGACTACGAGCTTCGGCCTGCCTGTTTGTCCACATGAAACATCTCGTAAGCGGCTGATCGAATTTTCTTTAAATCTTATATTGGCAAGTTTCACTAAATTTTATAGACACGTTCTAATTTTTGTTAAAATCGGACACCCACCTACAATTTCACACGACACCACAGTTCACAAGACCACAATGTGACCATCGATTTCTTTTAAAAAATATTAATTACATTCCTAATCCGATTAGCATGATCTAACTTTGTATCCGAGAGGTACTGGTTTCGAATTTGAGCCCAGTTCGGATTACCCTAAAATATTTTTGGTTCCCTCGTATTTTCTGACGAATAACGAATCAAGGCGGATCACTTCCTAACCCCTCACTTTTTTCTATCATTTAGGAAATTCTGAATATAAATATTTATATAACATTAGTAATATAAAAACATAGTACACTATATACATATATAAAGACCTATATACCTATGAATGCGTTTCCAAAAAAGGTCTTTATGCATTCAACTATTTGGACAAAAGACGTGTTTAAAACAGCACAAACAATCTACATTAGCATATATATATATATATATATATATATATATATATATATATATACCACTTTGTACAGTGTGACTGGGATACTAACCATGTAAGCGATGTAGAGGGCCGACAGTGACACTCATCACGGTAACAAATTTAATCACTTTTCACTAAAAATACACCGAGCAACAAAATTGTAACCCTAGAGATAGGAATAATATTCTTTAGGTTTATAGGAGCGACTGCAATTCTGTGGAGCTCTCATAATTATAACTGAGTTCGTCCGTCCGTCCGTCCGTCCGTCCGTCCATTTCTATGGATGCAATAATTTGATAAAGGCTGAACGGAAATTCCCTGTCAACTGCAAACACTTGATGCCTTTCATAAAGGTCAAATTCTGGTGCAATGCTCTAGAAGTGTTACGCCATACATACATTTCCTAAGTTGTTAAAAGAATGGCATAACACTATTTCAGTGCGGTTTAATGTTTTCCAAGAATAAAATAAACTAGAACTTTGTTCTTCCTGTATCTCCTCCAGTGCCAGACAGAATTTAGAAGACTGCCCTCTGTAAATATTTGGGAAACATTTCGAATAAAAGTAATTATAAAAAACAAACTTGCAGAAGAGAACAGGTAACAGTAATTTGAAACATTCTCTTAACGTCAACAAAAGATGTTAAAATGGTGTATCTTTCTTGTCTCAACATCTGCGGGTGGAGTAGCTCTCCGATATCTATCGATCTATGATTTTAAACCTCGATACCTTCATCTTGTAATACCCAATAAGAATCTTAAATTACTTACATAATTAGGATGTCAGCTGAAATCGACGAATCGATACTATGTCGGAACACGTAATTGATATCGATAAGGATTCGTCGTATCGACATATCGCGTAACGTCTTCTTAGCATATCGATCCTATTCTATTGAACGTATTGAGAAATCGGAAATATACATCTATTATATGCAATATGAGGGGACGTTTCGGTAGGTTATTAAGAAGGAATGCATGTCAATGTCACCGAAGTGGTATAATGCAAATGAAATCAATCTACAACGTTCAGAAACTGCTTTATTCCATTTATTTATTCCACTTAACGGAGTCAAATCCTTCCTGAAAAACCAACAGTCGCTCAGCCACTCAATAAATTCTCAAAATGTTATGGAACCCAAAGGTTCATTACCGTGTTCAAAAAAGCCTGACACTTCTCCCTATCCTGAGCCAGATAAATCCGTTCCATCCCACTTCTCTAAGATCCATTTTAATATTATCCTCCCACCTACATCTAGGACTTCCTAATGGTCTCCTTCCTTCTGGTTTGCCCACCAAAACCCTGTATACATTCCTCTTTTCTCCCGTTCGGTCTACATGCCCTGCCCATCTCATCGTTCTTGACTCGATCAGTTTAATTATGTTTGGCGAGGAGTACAACTTAAGAATCTCCTTATTATAAAACTTCCCAGTGTTTTATTCTAAGTACAAAAAAATGTTAAAGAATAACTTGTACTGTTAAGTACTACGACGTTAGCCTGTGTGTGTGTATGTATATATATATATATATATATATATATATATATATATATACCACTTTGTACAGTGTGACTGGGATACTAACCATGTAAGCGATGTAGAGGGCCGACAGTGACACTCATCACGGTAACAAATTTAATCACTTTTCACTAAAAATACACCGAGCAACAAAATTGTAACCCTAGAGATAGGAATAATATTCTTTAGGTTTATAGGAGCGACTGCAATTCTGTGGAGCTCTCATAATTATAACTGAGTTCGTCCGTCCGTCCGTCCGTCCATGCGTATGGATGCAATAATTTGATAAAGGCTGAACGGAAATTCCCTGTCAACTGCAAACACTTGATGCCTTTCATAAAGGTCAAATTCTGGTGCAATGCTCTAGAAGTGTTACGCCATACATACATTTCCTAAGTTGTTAAAAGAATGGCATAACACTATTTCAGTGCGGTTTAATGTTTTCCAAGAATAAAATAAACTAGAACTTTGTTCTTCCTGTATCTCCTCCAGTGCCAGACAGAATTTAGAAGACTGCCCTCTGTAAATATTTGGGAAACATTTCGAATAAAAGTAATTATAAAAAACAAACTTGCAGAAGAGAACAGGTAACAGTAATTTGAAACATTCTCTTAACGTCAACAAAAGATGTTAAAATGGTGTATCTTTCTTGTCTCAACATCTGCGGGTGGAGTAGCTCTCCGATATCTATCGATCTATGATTTTAAACCTCGATACCTTCATCTTGTAATACCCAATAAGAATCTTAAATTACTTACATAATTAGGATGTCAGCTGAAATCGACGAATCGATACTATGTCGGAACACGTAATTGATATCGATAAGGATTCGTCGTATCGACATATCGCGTAACGTCTTCTTAGCATATCGATCCTATTCTATTGAACGTATTGAGAAATCGGAAATATACATCTATTATATGCAATATGAGGGGACGTTTCGGTAGGTTATTAAGAAGGAATGCATGTCAATGTCACCGAAGTGGTATAATGCAAATGAAATCAATCTACAACGTTCAGAAACTGCTTTATTCCATTTATTTATTCCACTTAACGGAGTCAAATCCTTCCTGAAAAACCAACAGTCGCTCAGCCACTCAATAAATTCTCAAAATGTTATGGAACCCAAAGGTTCATTACCGTGTTCAAAAAAGCCTGACACTTCTCCCTATCCTGAGCCAGATAAATCCGTTCCATCCCACTTCTCTAAGATCCATTTTAATATTATCCTCCCACCTACATCTAGGACTTCCTAATGGTCTCCTTCCTTCTGGTTTGCCCACCAAAACCCTGTATACATTCCTCTTTTCTCCCGTTCGGTCTACATGCCCTGCCCATCTCATCGTTCTTGACTCGATCAGTTTAATTATGTTTGGCGAGGAGTACAACTTAAGAATCTCCTTATTATAAAACTTCCCAGTGTTTTATTCTAAGTACAAAAAAATGTTAAAGAATAACTTGTACTGTTAAGTACTACGACGTTAGCCTGTGTGTGTGTATGTATATATATATATAGTGGTTAAATATTTTATCTTTTCTTCAGAATTTCTCGCACGAAAGGAATAATTGATTAATTTCAATTGGAATTATTGTTATTCAGGCAATTTAAAGTAACTAATTTTATATGGTGTGTAAAATTATTAAAATAAACCTCTCACTTGTGATCAAATTACTTAAATATTTGGTATATACGAAAAGGTTGGTTAAAGTTTAAAGCACATATTTGTTTTTAAATTACGTAAAATATTAATATTTGTTTTGTTACAAGTATAAAAGCAATCTAAAATTTTTTTCTGGAACAGTGACTCAAACATTAAAATCGGTTCTGCAATATGACTGCTTTGCAAATACTAATTATCACTTTGTTAAACCTGTATTGAAATTTCTTTCTGTTTTTATGGATATTAAATTGGTGTCTTACAATTTTAATCAGATTTCAGTCGCGAGTGAATTTAATCTGATACATTTTAATAATATCTTCTCAGATACACCTACGTTTGTAAGTGGTCTCTTCTCTTAACATTTCAAGTCATAATCTTAAATATATTTCTCATTGCCCATTTTGATATTCGCACAAGCCATCTAATTACACTACTCGACAAGATTTTTTGTGAACATGATTAAAAACTAACTCCTTTACATTAATTCTGGTAATATCATTGCAGATCTAGACTTAAAAATTTTGCATCACGTCACAGTTTAGAAACGAAAATAGTAAAATGTAAGATAATATTTTCGTCAGAAAAAAAATTATCCTCTGTGTAATAAATTTAGAGTCATAATAGCATGTTTTTGTATATTTTCATAATGTTTTATTATATTTGTCAACTATATGACAATGTTTGCTCTCTACACATAAAAATTTCGATAAAACGCAGATATTAACAACACCTGGCATCCATCTGAATTAAAAATGTGTACTTCTTGCCCGAGTAAAAGTTACAAGAAATCATCCTATGCTGAGTCTACGTTACGAGTTGTAAAATAGTGGGATTCATTTTGTTTAATTTTCGCAAGGTCATGCTAAAAGCTTACATGTACTTAATTTATTTTTAAATGTCATTAATGTTCAATTAATAGAACACTCCGTCTAGGACAGATGTCGTATTTTTGTTTTATTACTTCAAATTTCACGGATCACATTTTCTGGCATGGTCCAATTCAGTATTAATTATAAAACCATAAAACCTTTGGCATCTGGTAGAGGCTCCTTGACAGGGAAGTTGCTCATCACGAGAGCCAAAACACTCAATTATTTCTCGATTTCGAAAATATCGATAATTAGAACTAGTTACGTTGTCATTTAATTTTAGGCTACTTAAATTAAAAAAAAAGCAGGTTTATGTTTTACTCTTTGATGTCTGTGTGCCCCTTTTTAATTTTAAAAATAGTTGACCGACTTTTACGAGTCCTTTTAAGAACATGTCACTGGAAGACGCCTCAACTTCAAGATTTTTAATTTTTTTTAAATCGTTAATAACAACATTGCGGAAGAATTAAAATAACACTATCACCACTTAATACAGAATCTGAAATCATACGTGGCAATAAATATGAAAAGCAATATATCAAATTTTTGTCGAGTTTTTAAATATAAATATGTCCCTAGCTCATCATTTGATAAGTACGACTAACGAAACACCGTAGGTAGGCAACACGTAAAATTTGGTAAGGAGATTTCTCTTCTGGGTCCAGTTCTGTAGCCGGAGGCAGAATATGTTTCTCCTAAATGTTGGTTTCTACCTACGAAAACACACAGCGCAAAACCCGAAAGAATAAGTCTTCTTCTTATTATACGGCACACACATGCATATTTACAAATATCCTACATAAAGTAGCTTTAAAACAATTTTTATCTCAACACAAAAAACCTCCTTATGTCTCCTTATGTCACCTGGCACAGCGTACCACCTTAATTTTATATCAATCTAAATTTTTATGAACTATATAAATACAGAACTCATTGGTAATTTGTGCTTGGTAATTGTAACATATATTATGGCTCCACGATCATTCAAATCATCATCGTCATTTTCAAGAACGGGCGTTCTTGGTGATAAATGTAACTTTTTTCAAACGTATTATGTCATTTTCAAGAACGGACGTTCTTGGTGTTAAATGTAACTTTTTTCAAACGTATTATTTGCTACGTTTGTCGAAAAGAATTGTCCTTTAGAATTGAATTTCAACTAAGGTTCTTTGGTGTTTACGAAAATCAACGTGTTTTAAAAATACCGATGCTTGGTATTTAGGAATAATCTTAATATGTAAATTAATTTGTCTTACGTCCCATATCAAAGAATGTGTTGGGCGGCAAACAAAATATTAAAACGACAAGTAAGGAAAGAGACAAAGATGAAAAATGATGATAATTTTAACTTTACATAAGTGAAACATTTTTAAGAAATCAAAACGTTAATAAATTTCAAGTATCTCAATTAACTTTTAAGAACTGACAAAGGATGTGTTAGATTAAATAATATTAAAGATGAAAATACGTAAAGGCTTAAATATGTGCTCCGTAAATGTAAGAATAACCTTAACGGAACTGACAACACCAGAATCACAAAATTTTTTATTCAGAATAAATCCAAAAGGATACGCAGAATTACACGAACCCCACTCAGAAGATGACTACAGGTAAAAAAAATAGGAAATTAAATCTCTTAGTAATCATTACTGAAATTATGTTAGTGATAGTTACAGGTCATCTGTAACCATTATGGACCCTTACCTTCGTAGATAATCGGTTCTTTCTCCCGGAAGTACGTGAGGGCAGGGAAGTTCTTGATGCCATATTGCTTGGCAAGTCGCTTGTCGTTGATTTTGACGAAATCCACCCCAAAAGTGTCTGTGTCGTCATCAATTTTCTCGAGCTCAGCAAGGACCTTGTCGCACGTCAGACAACTTCTTGCATCTGTAAGCAAGACGTCAAAACATCAGTGACGAAGCTGATATTAAACAAAACTTAAAACCTACATTTCAACACAACTAACGCCAAAATCCGCAATTAGACATGATCCTGAAAAGGCAAATTATGTTTTCATCCTCTTAAGATATTACCCTAAGATATATTTTAAAATTCTGACCATCTATTTCTGTTTCTTCCAAATAACCACTTTTCACGAAGTTTTCCCATCCCTTCAAACTTCACGAAGTTTTCCCACCCCCTTCAAACTTCACGAAGTTTTCCCACCCCCTTCAAACTTCACGAAGTTTTCCCGCCCCCTTCAAACTCCACGAAGTTTTCCCACCCCTTCAAACTTCACGAAGTTTTCCCACCCCTTCAAACTCCACGAAGTTTCCCCACCCCTTCAAACTTCACGAAGTTTTCCCACCTCTTCAAATTTCACGAAGTTTTCCCATCCCCTTCAAACTTCATGAAGTTTCCCCACCCCTTCAAACTTCACGAAGTTTTCCCACCCCCTTCAAACTTCACTCTATCAATTCAGTAGCATTTATGATATGAAGTTTCAGCAAATTGTAGCACGAAAGGCGTTAAACAAGAATGTGACCCAAGCTCTGGAAAAACCTGGCTTAGTAATAATGACTTAATGAGAATAATTTAATTATTTCTCAAGCTTTAGTAGACATCACGTGTCATATGTTTAAGCTATCCATTGCAAAAAATATGTCATTTTCGTTTTGTTGAGATGCCAAGAATCAGATAACACAGAGAAGTCACATAATATAGTAAATAGATTAAATTCAATTCAATTATTTATTATTTGTGTGCTGTATCAACAGCCAGATGACCATTTACAGATACAGCACAGAGATGAGCTCACGAACACATTTAAAACATAAAAGATAAAACAAGCAGAATATAAAATGCATTAGTACGGAGGACGTTAATACACAAGAAAATTGCAACTAAATATATTAGCATATTTGTAATAATAATTTAAATAAATTAAGTAAATTATACTATTATAGAATGTGAAGAAGTGTGACAATTTTCATCTCGAATATGTCCAAGTCCCTGCAGACGACATTAGCAGGAATATATAAAGATAATCAAAATACAACACAGTTCAAAGAGCGAAAGTTTATTTAAACGAGCAAACAAACAAACAAACAAAAGTTATTTGCTGCATTTTTTGCTTTGTTATGTATTATGCTGTTTGTAGTACATTTGGCAGAAGTTTGTCCGCGAAATTTGTTTTACGTCCAAGCATGAATACTTTAGGCTACAATTTCAAATAAGTGTGCCAGACATCCTCTTAGTGCCAATTAAAATATACGAATTTATATCAGTATGAAGAGCAAATATCTATAAAAGGAGACATCAATTTTTTCAAAAATAAATTAATCAAAACTATACTTTTGTTCAGTATTCTAGGTTAAAAACGGCTGAACATAAAATTTGAAGCATATGTCTTTTGTAGTAAACTTTGTCCTTAGAATAAATTTTCTCTTATCTTTGTTTAATTTTTTGTTACGTCAAGACACAAACAGATCAAGGAATAAAGACCAAACTTTGCTCACGATTTTCCAATTAAACGCGCAAATAAGCCACTGACAATGATTGATCTTAAATTATTGTTCCACTGTACAACGAAATTGCAAGATACTATTTAAATTCTCAATAATTTCATGCTGTCTGCGGTGCGTATATTTTAACATTGTGACAATCTATATGATAATAAATATTTAACTTATATCAAAAAACAGGATTGTTGATACCAATGTCTAACAGTACCTCTGCGAGAATTTTTTTATCGTGAAGAACATTAAACAATAATTACTGATTAACATTCTGAGTTATAAGCATTTCAAAAACGAAAATTCAACCTGATACTGAAAGATTTCTCAACCTTAAGTAGTGTCAAGTATCTCAGTAATTACTGATTTTTTAAAGGAAATGGTGTAATATGTAGCCTTCATAATACATCACCATGGCCAATGATAAATTAAGAATTATAATTGACAACTACGATATACTGAATATAGTGACATAACTGATACTTCAAGACGGGATTTTACAAGGTTCTTATGAACTCCGTGAGTGTGTGAAGATTTTAATGTTGTTTTTTAAAGAGAAATATCTAAACACTGCATTTCTTTGGTTTATAAAAGACAAGATCACCCAAAGTAAAAAGGATCTCTGTATTGTATGACGGAAAATGTTCTTCATAGCAAAACCCACAAAAAGCCACGTCTTAATATTTTTAAGTTATAAGACGCGTACAGAAAAAATTGCAAAAAAAAACTCCATGGAGTAAATTATTTCTTCATATCCTAACAGTCGCTCAGATGGCCGACATATTAACAGGATTGTTGATACCAATGTCTAGCAGTACCTCTGCGAGAATTTTTTTTTAGCGTGAAGAACATCAAACAATAATTACTGATTAACATTCAGAGTTATAAGCATTTCAACAACGAAAATTCAACCTGATACTGAAGGATTTCTCAACCTTAAGTATCTCAGTAATTACTGATATTTTAAAGGAAATGGTGTAATATGTAGCCTTCATAATACATCACCATGGCCTTTGATAAATTAAGAATTATAATTGACAACTACGATATACTGAATATAGTGACATAACTGATACTTCAAGACGGGATTTTACAAGGTTCTTATGAACTCCGTGAGTGTGTGAAGATTTTAATGTTGTTTTTTAAAGAGAAATATCTAAACACTGCATTTCTTTGGTTTATAAAAGACAAGATCACTCAAAGTAAAAAAGTATCTCTGTAGTGTATGACGGAAAATGTTCTTCATATCAAAACCCACAACAAGCCACGTCTTCATATTTTTAAGTTATAAGATGCGTACTGAAAAAGTTGAAAAAATACTCCATGGAGTAAATTATTTCTTCAGATCCTAACAGTCGCTCAGATGGCCGACACAAGACTCATTACCGCTGAGGTAAGTGATAAATTGACAGGACGCTGGAGAAAAGTGCGTCGTTAGGAGCTTTACAAACGATACTCTTCATAAAATTTCGTCATAATGATCAAATGAACGAGATGTGATGGGCGAGGCATGTAAGGCTAATGGGGGAAATAACTACGTACGAAATTCAAATTGAAAAGCCTGAAGAGAACATATCACTCGAAGACCTAGATAGGAGGATAATATTAAAATGTTTCTTCGGAAAATGGGGTTTGGGGTTTTGAATTTTAGTCATCTGGCTCCTGATAGCTTTTATGAACAACGTAACATGCTTTTGGGTTACATAAAAGACGGAGAATTTCTTGGGTGTCTGATCGTCCTGTTAGCTTCTTAAAAAGGGTTCTACTTTATTTAGTTAGTTGGTTGGTAAGTTAATTAGTTAGCTAGCTAGTTAGTCAATCATTTAAATTACTCTCTTCGCTTAGGTTTCTCGATTAAAATTCTGTATACATTTATCACTTCCCCCAATATGTGCTAAATATTCCATCATCGTTATTTTTACATTTTTTATGTTATTTTCAATAATCTCCGCCTTACATTTACTTTGTCAATCACAAATTCAAATATTCACCTCAATGCCCTTTCATTATCTATGTACTTCGCTCACTGCCAGAGACTAAATTTCGCACCCGTACAAAACAACAGACAAAGCTCCGTTACAATGTTGTATACTTTCATATTTACATTTCTAGATATCAAATGGAAATACTGAAGATTCTCACCGAAGTCGTAGCAAACATTCCTCGAATTTACTACATTTTTGTAAGATTTATTAGCTGTATTTATAAGATGATATAGTTGCGTCATATTGTGAAATTTAATTAATTATTCAGTTTTGTCCGTCTAATCACAATTCATATATAAATTTACAATTAAGATAATTAAAATATCATTTTATGTTCCTCATCGAACAATCGATTTACAATTGGAACATCTTTTTTAAAATTAAAATACAAGGAAATAACCCAAATATACCATTAATAAAATACAAAGCTGAAACATTATACATAAAATTAGAAATCAAAAATGGATCTGGAAGTGAACATCACCAAAAAGTTGCATATCAGAAATTGTAATTAAGTTTTAAGTTTATATTTTAACTTTTACACCTGAAGATGGTTTATATAGAAACCGAAACATGTTGTAAAAAGATGTTCCAATTGTAAATCTATTGTTCGATGAGGAACATAAAATGATATTTTAATTATCTTAATTGTAAATTTATATATGAATTATGATTACACGGACAAAAACCTAATAATTAATTAAATTTCACAATATGACGCAACTATATCATCTTATTCGTAAATAAATCTCACTGTAGAAAAATACAGTTAAATAACTTATTAGTGTAAATTTTTGTGGAACTTGATTGATGCATGTTTGGTATTTTTGAGGCAGAGTCTAGAATAAGTTCAGTTGTACCGACGAATTTAAAGAAGTAAAATATCTATCCGTAGTTACTTATTTTTAACGCGAGACGACTAAGTTTTTCTGTTCCAAATAATTGAAATTCTTACGAAACTGCGGACTTAAGACTTCTGGTTGTTAAAAGTATTAGCCAGTTTGTCTGTAACCTTACACAGCAAGCGATAATTTTGGCTGTTACTTTTGATGATTGTTCTCTCTCTCTCTCTCTCTCTCTCTCTCTCTCTCTCTCTCTCTCTCTCTCTCTCTCTCTCTCTCTCTCTCTCTCTCTCTCTCTCTCTCTCTCTCTCTCTCTCTCTCTCTCTCTCTCTCTCTCTCTCACTCACTCACTACAAATGACAGCGTAACAAATTCAATATATTTAAAGATCTTGTACAGGATTAAGCAAACTTTGCTACCACCAAAATTTCGCAGGACTGAGACGCTGATATTGTTGAACGTACAGATGTATGTTGACATCACATGTCTTAATTTATTTGACTTAGTTTGCACGGTACAGGAATAATCACATATGAATCGTAAAAAAATTTGTTTTCGTAATCGCGTTAAAAGTTATAACTTGACAACTGCACATGCTTTTCAGG